CAGAACTGGCTTCCAACCAGGTTTTGGTCGTATATTTTGTGGTGTAACTGGTTTCAGGACTTCACACCTCCAGAGACTTGCTGCTCTCGCTCTGTTTTTTATAACGAGACTCGAATCCTGCTTCTGTTTTGCTTTTTAATCTTTTCACTTCATGTCTGAATCAGAGAGTTAAAGGAGGTCAGAGTTCATGCAGCCAGGAGGACTTCATTCATTTCCTGCTGGAGCTCAGCCAGCACACACACACACACACACACACACACACACACACACACACACACACACACACTGACATGCTTTTTCGGGTTTTATTGGTTGTGACAGTCGGGACAAAAGCCCAGCGAGGCCGAACAGCAGAGCAGAGCTGAAGCTGCATCACCTGAGGTTCATCAGTAATCAATCAATCAATCAATCAGTCATTAATCAAACCACATGTCAATTAATCCACCTGTCAATCAATCAATCAATCCACAAGTCAGTTAATCTAGTGGGTCATCCAGTATCAGTTTCAGTTTTTCATCATTTTAAGTCTCTGTCTGCTGGTTTTGCGTTTTGTTTGTTTGCTTGTTTGTTTGTTTGTTTGTTTATTTGTTTGTTTATCTTGCGTGGGTATCTTACGTCTCTGTGCGGTGGGTTTAGGAGCCTTTGCGGTAGTTTTACATACGTTTATGGTCAATTTTCTTCTGTTTTCGGTCCGTTTGTGGTGGTTTGAAGCCTCCTTCTGCTGGCTTTGTGTCTGTCTTTGGTCTTTTTGCGTCTCTGTGGTTGTTTTAAGTCTTTTTTTGGTCAGTCTGTGTCTCTCTGTGGTTGTTTTATGTTTGTATCGCCGTTGTCGTCTTGCTTTGTGTCTATTTCGGTCAAATTCTGCAGCTGGTTGAAAAACTTCAGCAGCTTCTCGTTCTCTCCTGAGATGAAGGGAGGTTGTTCAACATCGTCTCAAAGCTTCCAGTCACACCTGATCCACTCATGTTTTTATCTAAACGCCAAAGCTCGCACATTTACCCTGGACCGTGTTCAGTAGAGGCTCGCAAACCGGGTCGGAAAGTACTGATTATGAATATTTGCTCTCAGGAACTGAAACCGAAGCGGCGTCGCGTGGCTCGTTATTTACTTTGTCGTCTGTGTCGCTGCATAGCGAACATACCTGCACTTTCATTTTCAGGTGAGGCTGATCCAGAAAAGGCGTGTGATTCGTGGAAACAGACGAAGAGCAGGAAGGTCTGTGGTTATCGGAACGTTTCTGATAAAAATAAAAAATACCGAATGTGTCGGCGGTTCGCTTTGATTGTTTCACTTTAGTTCCGCTAAATGTGGCACCAAAGACGTAGAAAAGACGTGAAGGAAGCTAAACTACTGTCCATGAGAAAGTCCCTTCATGTATAAGTACATGTTCAGCAGTAAATAAGTCATGATGATGTCAGCACATGATCGAGGAAGCACCTGAGCTTTGAAATGCCCCGAACATGTGACCATAAGGACGTGGACTGTCAACAACACGGTTTCTGGCTCATGTTCCTGTAGCTGGAGGAAGCTTTGGGACTTTGGGTTGTTTTATTTCATGTCAATCTGTTGTCATCGTCCAGCTGATGACAACGAACGCTGTGTTTGCAGCAAGAAGGGAAATGTTGAGAAAGAGAAACAACAAGAACGAAACAAACGCAAAACCTCAAAGGGACACGAAGCGACCCAGAACAGGCACAAGACCACAATATTCAAGACGGTGTGGGTTCTGGACAGTGTGGGTTCAGGATGGTGTTGGTTCAGGATGGTGTGGGTTCTGGACAGTGTGGGTTCTGGGCGGTGTGGGTTCTGGATGGTGTTGGTTCAGGATGGTGTTGGTTCAGGACGGTGTTGGTTCTGGATGGTGTTGGTTCAGGATGGTGTTGGTTCAGGATGGTGTGGGTTCTGGATGGAGTGGGTTCTGGATGGTGTTGGTTCCAGATGATATTGGTCCAGGACGGTATTGGTTCTGGACGGTATCGTTGAGGTGTTTTCTGCTGAACGGCTGCAGCAGCAGCTCTGCCTCTAAATCAGCTCTGAGGAATGTGAAGCCTGACGTCCTGCCAGCTGCTCTGTTTGGATGAAGCTGAACTGGGTCGGTCCACCTCTACTGACTAAACACCAGAACAACTCGCTGCTGGTGACGAAATACCACAAAACAGACACACAACGCTGCACCACGTGGTTCTGGGTCTTTTTGTAAACGTTGTGCGTCTCTTCATGGACGTTTTGTGTCTTTTTGGGAAACAACTGTTCTGCTTCGTGACGGTTCTGACGGTTCTGACTGTGTTTGGTCGTTTTGTGTCCCTCTGTGGTGGGTTTCAAGTGTTTCCTGATCATGTTGCGTCACTTTGTGTGTGTTGTGTGTGTCTTTGTGGCGACTTTGCGTCTGTATTTAGCCACTTTGTGTGTCCATGTGGTGTTTTTGTGTTGCTCTGTGATGACCTGGAATCTGTTTTTGATGGTTTCGTGTTTCTTTCTGGTCTCTGTGCGTCTCCTCGACGTCTTTTTGTGTCTCTTCATGGACGTTTTGTGTCTTTTTGAGTTAAAGTTGAGCTTCGTTGTGTCTGTTTTTGTCATTTCTGCGTCTCTTTGTTGCCCTTTTACGTCTTTTATAACCACATGACCAAGTCCTTGTCTTATTTTAGTTGTTTATTATCTACGTGTGTTCTGACTTTCACCCCGTGTGGCAGGAATATTGATTATTGAGGCATTTCTCCTCCTTTTTGAACAAATGTTTTAACTTTGAGACCTTGTAGATGTTTAGACTTTAAACATCATCCATTCTATTCCTGTACAGCTATGTACCATGTATGTTACGGCTCCACTGTCGCTCCTTTAAGCCAACCAATCATATGTTAGATGGACTCGTCACCACGGTAACCCAGAAAATGGAGGAGAATCTTCAAATGTGCAGAGAAAGAGTCGTATTTCAGGTAACTTAACTAAACTAATACAGGGAGAGATGATTCTGAAGCTTAAGTAGAAAAACAACAACAAGTAAACGATGACAGAAAAAGGAACTTAAAACTTTATTTAAAACAACTTTTTCTAACCTGTTTCCACCTCGTCACAGGTCAGGAGTGTTTAAAGAGTGCAGTGGAGCTGGACACAAACATCATCTTGTTGTTCTTTTTGCTGATTCTGGTCTTTGCTTCTTCTGACGGATCCACAAAGTGTTCTTAAATCCTCAAGTTTCTTACGAGTTACGTGAAAATACGACACGTTTGTTCAGACTTTTGGAGCCCTTTGCTTGTTCGCTTCAGCTTCTTATCTCGATTTTAACTGTGATATATTTCAGACACGTCCTCAGATATTCCACTGAGGACGCGTCTGCCCGTGCATATATGTGGAAAACATGGCTGCTGTTTGGAGGAGTTAAATGAAAACACTTTGCATTTGAACCCGTGTCTTGCTGCTTTATGACCCGCCATAAAGAGGCGCGTGGATTCACTACCAGGAATAACTTATTTTATTGCGGCCGTAATCACATTTCGATTAAGTGGTTTCACACATTTACAGCTTGTTGTGAGGCGTGTGCGTTCGTCAGACGTAAAGCCGCCTGCAAACAAGTTTAAAAGTCACAAAGACGAACCTGATGAACATGAAAAATTAGGATTTTAAAGTCTGCTTTTCAGATTTCCTCCAAAACACGAGCGAACAGTCGTGTAGAGCCGCGTTACAGTGCGACACCAGAATGAATTCAAATATAAATGATGACAAGTTACTGAGCAAAAACCAAACCTTCAGAGCAGCGAGTGGTCGCCCTGCTGAGAGGCTCAGTGTTTTGCAGGTCTTCTGAGGACACCGGTCGGTGTGTCTTTATGTGGAAATGGCTCCATCTAGTGTCCATAAACGGACTGACGGTGGAGAATCAGCAGTTTTTTCAGTTCAGGATAAGAAATGTTTGTCTTTGTAGCAGCTAAATGCTAAATGGCTAAAGTGCACCAAGTGGACAGCTGGTGGAGATGTTGCTCCACAACAGCTGGATGTGAAAATAATTACGTTTGGCTCAAGTTTAGAAGTCGCGTATCAGTGAAACCAAGATGTTCTTGGTCATTTTAGGTCTCTTCATGGTCATTCTGACTGTTTTTGTGGGACTTTTGCATTTGTTTTTGGTCATTTTAAGTCTCTTTGTGGTCATTTTGAGTTTTTCTGTAATGGTTTCGTGTCTGATTTTGGTGACTTTTTGTGTTTTTATTGTGGTTTTGCTTCTGTTTTGGTCTTTTAAGGTTACTCTGTGGTCATTTTCCACCTCTCTGTGACAGTCTGCCGTATGTTTTTGGCCGTTCTGTGTCTCTTTGTGGTCATTTTGTGACTTGTTGTGAACCTTTTGCATCTCTACAATGGCTTTGAAATTCAAAATACCACTAATTAAAGTTGCCATAATTGCCTTTTGGGCAGCTTTAGGGCAGCACACTGAGCTGTGACTGATGTTTAAGCTGTCAGATCAGTCTGTAATAACCACTTTTTCTCTCATTTCCACTTTACCTCCTGCCGTAGTCGCATCTCTTCCCAAAACAGAGACACGGTGGAGGTGTTTGTGGGCAGATCTTGTCCTCCGATTGGTTAGCGAGCGTCTGCTTGCTGGGCTGTGATTGGCTGAGCTGCATGTGGGTGATGTCAGCAGTGGGACTGACCAGACGCCTCAGTCGGACTGACGGATCGAGTCAAACCGAAGCCGAACCGCGAGCAGGATGGGCTCCAGCAGCTCCGACATGAGCCACATCCCAGACGCCCAGGAGCTCATGCAGGAAACCGGCTGTGAGTGGAGATCCGTTTGGCTTTTGGCTCTCGCTTGTTTCTCCTCCTTTTGGAAGATGTCAAGACGAGGAGGAGTTAGTAGAGAACTAGGAGGGCAGATGAGCTGTGACTCCTATCAGCAGAAACAGCTGCTTTATCTCTCAAAGCTTCTCATGTTTTATCTCCACGTAGCAGCTCCTCTGACAGCGTTGTTGTCGGCTCGTATTGTATATTTACAGCGATGACACGGTTACTCTAATCTGTTTAAACTTACTGTTTATTCACATTCACTACAGTTTATACGTGTTCAGTGTTTTTATTGTTGCCCTTTACGAGCTAAATAACTGTTAAAAACATGTGAAATTCATTATGATCATTATTATAAAACACAGATGGAGCCAACTGCTGCTATCACATTAACCACCGACTGTTACGACAACTAGTTAATGATTTAGAGTATTTTTTAGATCTAAAGCTTCGTAAATATTTTTGTTATCAATCCTCCGTCACAGTAAAAGTTGTTAAGTTGTGGAGAAAACCAGACATTTGTCATCTTGACTGTTCTAAATCGTTATTTTTCCCCATTATTGACGAATAATCAACAGATCCATTGATAATGGAACCAACTGTTGGTCGCAGCACTGCTGCTGTGGTTCCTTCACAGGAGGAGGTGCATAAATAAATACTGAAAACGTCCTGATGTTGGTTTACAGCTGACATCGATTCATTACGTCTGTGTCGCTAGTGATAAATATGGAGTTTAATTTATTTTATTTTATATTTTTTAAACTATAGAAAGCCGTATACATTTGTCTTCCTGTGTGAAGTCTGTATCAATTAATTTTTAAACTTTTTAGGGGCAGTCAGGTTTGGATCCTAAATTATTCATTTAATGCTGCAATTTTCATTTTTTTAATACAGCTAATAATACAGCTAATAATAAAATATAAACATTCTGACAAAAATGTGCCCAAAACCCAATTCGCACATCCTAAAATATCTTTCTGTTTATTATATGTACTAAAAAAAATAAAATAAATATGCTGTGAGTAAATCTACGGCGTCATTAAAGCTGAGCCATTTCCATGCTGAGGAAGACCACGTAGTTATGTTTATGGGGACAAACATCGTAAATCAATAAATGTTCATATGAAGGCTGCAGACTGAGTTTCTAGTTGATGGAACGTCCTCTGTTTGTGTCAGTGTTCCTGTTATACTGACGTCGTGGGAACTTTTTGGGGACCGTATGTCTTTATGGGGGCACACGTGAGTCCCTGTTGGGGACTTCTTTAAATGTGAGTATAAAAAGTCAGAGTTCGTCTCCTGGAAATGAATCAGTCCTCTGCATGTGTGTGTGTGTACTTTTATTCCTCATGTTGTGGGGACATTACTGTGTTCACACAGTCACACTGAGGGGACTTGATTCCTTATGGGGACAAGATGCAAACCCTCTGAGGTAAATCATTACATTTCAGCATAAAGACTTGTTTTATGGTTAGAAGCAGCCTCCAGCCACTGTGGTCTGACGGGATATTATCTCCATCGTGGCCTCGGTCTGAGCGCTCTGATAGCAGCAAGCTGAGCCTCGTTGAACTCATCGTCTGTTGTTTATCTTTGTGGACACGCCGAACCGTCCTCGCCGATACTGACGCCGTGGACGCTGTTAAGCACACAAGTGGGACGGATGGCTGTTTACTGTACAGCAGCTGCTTCTGTTTGCCCTCCAGAAAATGTGTCTGACTGTCAGGTTCAGCCTTTATGAGATTATTAAATTGAAAGAGCCGTAGTTTTGCATGTTTCAGCCCATTAACGGATCACTGGTGAGTTTCTACATATAATAAAAAGACTCAAAACGATGCTGTTTGCCTCTCTGTAGCTTCCAACTACAGTTAGTATATGTTAGATATTTAGATTTTAGAGTTTTAAAAAATTGAATATTGTAAAATAGCAGGCACCTCCAAACCCTACGATACACTGCTGTTAGAAACAACACAACTTATTCCCTCAGACTGACACGAAGCGCCGTCTGTAATCAATCGAATGCTGTCTGTGTTTTCAGTTTCTGCCGCCCACCTCGCCCGGCTGCACGAGAGGTTTGAGTTTCTGGACAAAGACGACAGAGGAGAGCTCAGGTTTGTGCACGGACATATCAGAAAAATCATTAGTTGCAAGTTGCATTTTGCTATTTGTAGGAGAATCATCCTTTCACTTAGAGCATTTCATAAGAGATATGAGAACTCTTTACAGCACTGTGTAAAAGTTGTAGTTTTTTACCAACATCATCAGCGATGTGTTGGATCCTCACAGACTCATCCTGCAGCAGGACAAGTCCAAACATCCAGCCACAAGTCGAATAAGGGGTGTCCAAATCAAGTTCAGAACCTGCCAAAAACCAAGTCCAAATCAGTCAAAAACCAGTGTAAACCCTGGCCAAAACAAGCCCAAAACCAATGTGAAACCAGTCTGAAGTTAGTCCAAAACCACATCTGAAACTTGTCTGGAACAAGTCCAAAACCAGTCTGACACCAGTCTGGAACTAGTCTGGAACTAGTCTGGAACTAGTCTGAAACAAGCCATAAAACCAAGTCTGAAATCAGTCCAACATTAGTTTAAAACAAGTTCCAATCCAAGTCTAAAACCAGTCCGAAACCAACCTTAAACTCGTTAGAAACAATTCCAAAACCAAGTCCCAAACCAAGTCCAAAATCACTGAAATGACTTTGACACAAGTCCCACACCGAGTCTGAAACCAGTCTGAACTTGTGTCTGGAATCAATCTGAAACCAGTTCAACACAAAGTCTAGAACAAGTCTGAAATGAGTCCAAAACCAGCCTTTAACTAGACAAACACAAGTACCAAATGAAGTCCAAAATAAATCTAAAACTATCCCAAAAGACATTGTTTTCAAAAAAAGATGTCTAAAACCAGTCTGAAACCAGTCTGAAACCAATCAGAAACCAGTCTGAAACCAGTCTGAAACCAATCAGAAACCTGTCCCAAACCAAGTGTGAAACCAATCAATGAAAAAACAATCTAAAACCCATTTTTAAAAGAATTGTGTTTGCTTCTCCACTAAATTCCAAAATTAGTCCAAAACCATGTTCTGGTCATAAAGAGGTCCACATCCAAATCCAAAAAGCTCTGCCAACACAACATGGTGTGTTATTGATGAGAACTTTGCCAGACATTAATTGTTCTAGTTTCACATTCGCATCCTAAAATCTGTTTGTCTTTGTGTGTCTCAGCCCGGAGGACTTCAGCACAGTTTCGGAGTTGGCCATGAACCCCATCGGAGACAGAATCATCGCTGCTTTTTTCTCTCCGGGGTACAGATCAGCTGCTCTGTTGTTTTTCCTCGTTAATCTGTGCAGTCTCTGGTGTCACGAACTGATTAGAGACACAATGTACGGCGTTTTTTTTCAAGGGTTTTAGGAAATGCATTAAAACATCCTGTAGTTTGAGTTACGAGGGTTTGGACTTGACAGCAGCAATATTTCAGAACCTGTTTGTTTGTCGGGAAACGTGAACCACTTCCTTTTCCTCCTGCAGACAACAAGCGGTGGACTTTCCCTCCTTCGTCCGGATTCTGGCTCATTTCCGTCCGACCGACGCAAACCGAAGCAGGAATGGAAGGAATGGAGCGCAGCAAGAGCCGGCAAACAGCAGGACCAACAGACTCAAATGTCAGTCCGGTTCGGTTTGTTCTTCTCTCGTGGTTCTGACACGTTTACCTTCGATCCGCCAGTGAAAGTCATTTGTTGTGCTTTCAGTCGTCTTCCAGCTGTACGACCAGGACAGAGACGGAAAGATTTCCAGAGAGGACCTTCTTGAGGTCTGTAACTGTTCAACTGAACAACACTCACGAACCTCATTATGATTCATTTTCTGTCTTAATCTACGTCTTTGTGTTGATGTAGACCTTCTCTACAGTAATATGGATGTTACCTCCCCATTTAAACAAAAATTGTTCACACAACCTTTGATTTACCAAATATCTCCAGACAGACAAAAACTACCAAAAGACAAATCTGGTCAAGACTATGTCCAAAACCAAGTGTACAACCACACTAAAATGAGTATAAAACAAGACCCAAACCAAGTCCAAAACCATCCAAAACCAAGTTCAAAACTATGTCTAAAACCAGTATCCATACCAGACTAAAAACTAGTTCAAAACAAGCACCCAACCTTGTCCTAAACTAGTTCACAGCCTGCCTAAAACTAGACGCAAAACAAGTTCAAACTCATGAATCAATATAGGGACCAGAATTAAGCCCTGAGGTACACCACTAATTTAGTTCTGAAGAAAAACATCAGTCAGAGAGGATTTGAAGCCAACATTATTCTGTGACTAGTGATTGGTTGATGCTGACAGGTGCTGAGGGCGATGCTGGAGATGCAGGTGGAGGAGGAGCAGCTGCAGAGCATCGCTGAACGAGCCATTCAGGAGGCCGACCTGGACCAGGACGACGCCATCTCCTTCGACGAGTTCAGAAAGGTGAGACCACAAACTGTCAAACCGGAGACGGTTTCTTACTTCAGCTTGATCACAAAGAGTCAGAATAAACAGTTTTATTGCTTTAATGCTGTGATACACCACCAACCTGTATCAGTTTACACATATGTAATAGTGTGAAACCAAAAGAGTCATGTCGGGTTTACAGGTGCCATGGGGGATGAAAAGAAGTCCAGATTCAAATACCTGACTGTCACAAACAAGGCCAAACTGTTCTCCACCATTTTCAGAATCTTACAAAACCAAGTCCAAAACCAAGTCCCTAACCAGTTCAAAGTCATTTTGAAACAAGACCCAAACCAGTCTAACACAAGCCCAACCTACTGTTGCCCAAAACCAATTCTAATGCCAGTCCAAAACCTGGAACCAAAAGCTCTTTAAACCAAATCCAAAACAAGCCCAAAACCTGTCCAAAAATACATTAAAACCACATATGAACCTAAATCCAAAAGGAGTCCACAAAAAGGTCAATAGCCAAGACCAAAACAAGTATTAAACCAAGTCCAAAGCCCACAGGCAGTCTGAAAAAAGACCCAAACCAGTCCAAAACTGGCCCAAAACCACATACAAACCCAAGTCCAAAACCAAGTCCTCAGCCAGTTCAAAGTCATTTTGAAACAAGACCCAAACCAGTCCAACACAAGCCCAAGCTACGGTTGCCCAAAACCAGTCCAAAATCAAGCCCAAAACCAAGTCTAGTACCAGTCCAAAACCAGTTCAAAACCTGGAACCACATATGAACCCAATTCCAAAAGCATTTTGTGACTCAATCCACAACCAGTCAATAGCCAAGACCAAAACAAGAACTAGACCAAGTCCACGGGCAGTCTGAAACAAGACCCAAACCACAACCAGTCCTAAACCAGATCAAAACCTTGTATGAAAACCTGAGATATTTTTTCTGCATAAACCCTCAACAATCATTTTTCAGAAATTTAAAATAACATCGACAACGTGTCTCATTCTCAAGTAAACCTGGAAACAATCACAACGTTTAGAGAAATTCAAAAACACAAAAAGCTCAGATGTGTCAAATGGTGGAGAAATATTTAAGATTTTTCAACATCTGAAGAACCTAAAACACTCTCCGGTTTACTGAAATGTTAGTTTCTTCTTCTGCAGCTTCAGCATTAAAGGTCTAAAAGTTGTTCTTGTTCTGTTTTCAGTCACTGGAGAAGGTGAACATCGAGCACAAGATGAGCATTCGCTTCCTGGAGTAAAGATGCAGACCTGCTGAGACGATATTAATCTGAAATGTGGAGATGAAACAGGAGGTGGAACGCGATTGGTGGGGTTTAAAATCCTGGTCATGAGGTGAATCTGGACCACCAAAGAAAGTTGAGATGAGTTAAGTTACTGCTGCGGACTTCCCAGTACCAAACGCACACTGTGTATTTACATGGCCGACAGACAAAAGTGTAAAGTAAACATCAGGATCGCCCCCTGGTGGCTGGAGGCAGTATAAGGTCAGGATGAATCAATATGACCAGAGCTTCAGACAGAAACATCGAACATCAGTTCCACCTCAAGACAACTCCGTCTATAAATCTGGAGTCCCAAAGGTTGTGTCAGTCTGTCCTACAGATGTCTGTTCAGATCCAAACCAGTTTGAAACCAGTTCCAAACCAATCAGAAACCAGTTCCAGTCGTCTACAATGCAGGTAAACGCTGCATATCATGTGTCATGACGACAGCGTGGAATACGATTTTATTTACTGACCAATAGGCACAAGGTTTAACTTTTGTATGACTCTGAGATAAACTCTGTTTCAGAAGATTACAGTAAAGACCCCACAGAGTTCCCCATTATTGTCCCTCTGTGGGAAACATCAGACTGATTTATTTCATTTCTTTAAATGTCTAAAACAACAATAATAAAAAGTAAACAGCTATTCGTTCAAACTGAACACTAAGTTGTGATAATTCTGTTGGATTTTATGCATAATAAACATTATTCTATATCAAACATGTATGTTCATGCATACTTTTGTAGGGTTCCCTCTAGCTTTAAATGAATTCAACTATGTCCCTGCTACCGTTCTTCTGTTAAACAACACGATGTGATTGATTTATTTTAATTCTTTTTAAAAAAGACTTTTCTGTTGATTGTAAAATGCTGTTGCACTGTTTTTCCTTTTTTTTAAATGCTGTATACTACAATAAATTTACCAACAACAAGCAGAGTGTTTCTTGTGTTTCAAAGTTTACGTTTTTCATGATACTGACTTTATTTTTCGACACGCTATACGATGACGTTTTACAACACGCTATACTATGACGTTTTTCGACACAACGTTTTTCGACATGCTATACTGTGACGTTTTTTTTGACACGCTATACCATGACGTTTTTTCGACACACTATACTATAACGTTTTTTTAACATGCCATACTATGACGTTTTCTCGACACGCTATAGTATAACGTTTTTTCGACACACTATATAATGACATTTTTTTGACACGCTATACTATGACGTTTTTTGACATGCTATACAATGACGTTTTTTTTTACATGC